TATCTATCGTTCTATCTATCTATCTATCTATCATCTATCTATCTATCTATCTATCTATCTATCTATCTCTATCCATCCATCCATCCATCCATCCACCCATCTATATATATTTTAATGGAATTATGTATTTTATTATTAAATCTCACTATATATTTAGAAATCAGATTATATAATTTATGTGTGTATATTCTAATTATAGATAGATCGATAGATACACATACATATTTAAGAATTCATTATGTAAAACTGTAAATCCTAATCTATCTATCTATAAATGAAGAAACTAAACAAGACATATACACATTATATACTTATAAATCAGAATATATATATATATAAAGGCTAAAAAGGCATGAATATTTCCATTCCAGAACCAGCACCGTGCTGTAAATATAATGAGCAGGTTCTCACTGGTTTTTGCCGGTAAACCTGTGGTAAATTCACAGGACTAGGAAGAGCACAAAGACAGCAGCAGACGGCTCGTGCTTTGATGAACGCCGCTGTTCTTCCTCAAACACCCATCTTCTGCTCTGGATGCAAGCGAACGCTGGCTGGGATTTCAAGCATCATTAACTTAAGGCTTTATGGACTGCCATTAATTGTTTTAATTGAACTATTTTCCAGCTCACCAGGCAAATAATAATTAAGAGAATTAAAGGAAAAACCATCCGATTTTTAGGGCCGTTGTTTTTTTTTTTTTTTGGATTGTGAATTATTTTCAAAACAATTCAGCACACTTTCTTCCCAACGTTCTCATGATGCTTGTGAATTATTGTGAATCTCTTTAATATGATGAATTTTACATTTCAGCTTGCTTACATTTTAAAAGCTGTTCCACAAATACTACCATAATGAATAAATACAATAAAATGTTTTGCGTTACCGTGATGACAATGACAATTTTGGAAGCACATTAATAAAAAAATTGAGCTTAATTGTCATGAAAATGATGTTGCAATACAAAACTGTTCCTAAAATATGCTTTTTTTAAGCATAAAATATATGTTCTGTTCATATTAATATTCATAATATTCAAATTTTGTTAATTTAAGTTTTATTTTGATTTCATTTCAGTTATCTTCAACAAGTAAAACAGCTGATATCAAATGTATCAGATACATTCATATCAAATAATTTCATTATTACTTTAATATTCTAAATTTCATAAAAAATCAGTTATTACACACATAATCTAAAGCTAACCCACACAGTCACGTCTAATTAATCAATTGCCCTGTCCAAGTTAAAATATGTGACCCTTTGAATAATAAGCTTTCCATTGATGTATGGTTTGTTAGGATAGGACAATATTTGGCTGAGATACAATTATTTGAAAATCTGGAATCTGGAGTGTGTGTGTGTGTGTGTGTGTGTGTGTGTGTGTGTGTGTGTGTGTGTGTGTGTGTGTGTGAGAGAGTGTGTATGTGAATTTCCACCTGAGCCGGTAAAGTTGGATTTTCGTCCTATTCCTATCAGAACCCCAGGCTTCAGGAACTTGAGGGAATCAGTCTCATCAATCCATTTCTTCATTGCCTTATTTATATATATATATGTGTAAAAACACACGTGAATAAGACATCACATGTATGACCCTGGACCACAGAACCAGTCATAAGGGTGAATTTTTTTGAAATTAATGTTTATACTTACTTTTTATATTTAAATAAATAAATATATATATATATCAAAATATTGAGAAAATGATCTTTAAAGTTGTCCAAATGAAGTTCTTAGCAATGCATATTACTAATCAAAAATTAGTCTCTCTGTCTCTCTGTCTGTCTGTCTCTCTCTCTCTCTCTCTAGATATATATCTAGCTGTCTCTCTGTCTGTCTGTCTGTCTGTCTGTCTGTCTGTCTATCTCTCTGTCTCTCTGTCTGTCTGTCTCTCTCGCTCTCTATCTATCTATTTATCTATCTATCTATCTATCTATCTAGCTATCTATCTGTCTCTCTGTCTCCCTGTCTGTCTGTCTCTCTGTCTGTCTGTCTCTCTCGCTCTCTATCTATCTATTTATCTATCTATCTATCTATCTATCTAGCTATCTATCTGTCTCTCTGTCTCCCTGTCTGTCTGTCTCTCTGTCTGTCTGTCTCTCTCGCTCTCTATCTATCTATTTATCTATCTATCTATCTATCTATCTAGCTATCTATCTGTCTCTCTGTCTCCCTGTCTGTCTGTCTCTCTGTCTGTCTGTCTCTCTCGCTCTCTATCTATCTATTTATCTATCTATCTATCTATCTATCTAGCTATCTATCTGTCTCTCTGTCTCCCTGTCTGTCTGTCTCTCTGTCTGTCTGTCTCTCTCGCTCTCTATCTATCTATTTATCTATCTATCTATCTATCTATCTAGCTATCTATCTGTCTCTCTGTCTCCCTGTCTGTCTGTCTCTCTGTCTGTCTGTCTCTCTCGCTCTCTATCTATCTATTTATCTATCTATCTATCTATCTATCTAGCTATCTATCTGTCTCTCTGTCTCCCTGTCTGTCTGTCTCTCT